TTCCCATCACCCTCTTGCTGTGACCTACCCACCAGGCACTCATGGTTATAACCTTCTATGACCTTTCCCTTCCATGACCAGCCTCTTCCTCTGACCTTCCCCCACACCTCACATTACCCTTCACCAGGCGCTGCCTCTCACCCAGATCTCCTTTCCACTAGTTATAGCTTCCTCCCTTTCAAGGCTGTGTCACCTTAGACAACCTGCTTTCCTTGTCTGGGCCAGTAAAATGAGACTTTTTTTTTAGGCATTTGGCACCCAGATCTAGGTTCAAATCCTGCCTTTTACAGCTAGTGTTCTCATGAAAGGCTCCCTCCACAAGAACCTGGACAGGAACAAAACCATTGGACCCCCTTGATTCAATCATTGGGTGAAGAAGCACATATTGAGTCACTCCCTCATGAAGGACCCTGAGCTCATATAGAGACCCCCACAACTGACCCAAACTCTCTACTTTTAAGTACTCAAGGTGTCTATCAATCTATAATCATTTTTCTTTTTTTCTCAGTTCCAGGTCCATCCACAAGAGTAGCACCTAAGCCTACCCTGGAACCCACAGGGCCTGGAGGACGCTCCAAAGGTAGGGAAGAGGATGATTCTGTGTCATGGCAGTGGTGTCAGACTCATATAGAAATGGATCCCTGTGGGCTGCCTATTGACTTAGAAAACCCCAAATTGACATTATCCACGTTGTGCTGTATTTTTATTTATTTTGTTAAATGTTTCCCAATTACATTTTAATCTTGTTCTGCCACACTCAGGAGTTTTGGGGTCTCAGTGTAGGCTATGCAACCGATACCTCTGTGACCTGGAGAATTCACCCTGAGTCCCACATGGAAGGTGGAAATAGAATATGCTATTCAAAAGAGGAAACAGCCCCAGGCCTTTCAAAATCCCCATTATTCTAAGAAATAGGCACCTTCTAAACAGGGAAAGAGAGGGAGAGCTGAGATGTTATAGCAACTGGAAGTCTTGGGTCACAAAGACCAGAGATTTAAATTTTGAGAAATCAGATATACAATTAAGCAGAACATTCTATGGGAAGTTGGAACAGATTTCTGCATTCCTGTTGAGGAGTAAGGAAAGTACAGGCTGCCTAAGGAGGAAGCCCCTGGTCTAATAGACTTTTGCAATGAGGACCCTTCACCCAGGTCCCTGTAACATCCTGGGGGTAGGAGACAGATCCTCAAGCCTCGCAGCTCAGGATTTCAACTTCACTAGTAACTTCACCATCATGATGAAAGGGACCTTTACCATTATGGCGCAGAACCAGCAGCAGGGTGAAGCTTCTCGAGGTCATGCCATATGAAGGAGCTGGTGTTGCCTAGTTTGAGCAGAATCAAGGAAGATGTGATAAATGTCCTCCAGTATTTAAAGGGCTCTCACATGGAAGAGGGGATAGGTTTGGTATGTTTGGCCCCAGAACAATGGGTAGAAGTCACAAAGAAGCAATTTGAGGCTTGATGTCAGGAAAACCTTCCTAGCAGTGAGAGCTGTCCCAAAGTGGAATGTGCTGCCTTGAGAAGTGGTGGGTTGTCCTCCCCTGGAGGCCATAAAGCATTGGCTGAACAACCATTTCTTCAGTACATTGTAGAGGGTTTTTGTTGTTTTTGTTTAGGCAGAGAACAGGCAAGATGGCCTCTGACATTCCTTCCAGCTCCAAGAATGGCTAAGGCAATAGAGACCTTGCACTCCATATCTCATAGCCAGTTCCTCAACTTATAACATTCATATGGCTGTGTTATTGATCATCCTTCTTCACAATGATTTTTCCAACAGCTTCTTTGCCGACCACATCTCCGCCAGCCACATCCCCAGGTCCATCAATTTTCTCAAGCACCACAGGTACAAAGATATTGGATATCTGGCTCATGTCCTAGAAATTGTGCCATGCTTTTCTGTAGGATTAGAGGACAAGAGACACAGAGCAAGGGGAAAATTGGAAAACTGGAAAGGGTACCATCAGTGGGTCCAGGATGTTAAGAGTCATGGATGAAGAAAAGGTATAAAGGACAGGAAAGTAGGAGGGTTGGGTTCTTAATGTGTTAGTGAGAATTCAAATTCAATAAAAATTAGAAAGGTCCGTCACATCTAAAAACATAAGATATTTAACAACTAAAAGGTCAAATATGGATAAAGAGTTACAAAATAAATTGCCTGACCAGAGGATGATGGGGACATGACCAGAAAGATTTCACATTGGAAGACGATGAGGGTTTTAGCAGATTGAAATCTCAACTTGATCTAATAGGGTGATGGAACAGTCCAGTTAGTCCCCATGAAGAGAAATCTAGTCCTTGGAAAGAGGAAGATGATAGTTCCACTGTCCTCTGGCCTGATCAGCCCCCATTTACAATATTATGTTGTGTTGTGATGACATGTTTGAAGAAAAAATATATACAGAAAGAAAATGGCCATCATGGGAACATGAAACTATGCTATAAAAGGATTGTTTGAAAGACCTAGGTGTGTTTAATCTACATAAGAGAGGTTTAATGATGGTCTCCAAATGTTTAAAGACCTCTAATGGGGCAAAAGATATAAAATCCTTCTACTTGGCCTCTGAGAGGGGAATTACAAGCAATGTGTGAAAGGTACTAGGGAATGTATTTCAGTTCACGTTAAGGGAGAATGTTATGCTAATTACGGCCATCCAAAAGCAGAATACACTGCCTCAGGACGCAGAGGCTGTGCCCTCACTGAAAGACCTGATGCAAATCTTCAGTGGCATTTTGCTGGGAACGTTATTGGAAAAGTTCTTCCATAGGAAGCTTGGCCTAATTTGAATGAACAAGCCTTTTGCATGCTTCCTATTGTGCACAAGATTCTGTCCTGCTCTTCGAGATGAGTGGGATAGTCAGTAGGTGGCCTTGCCTTGTGCTCTGTTTCTGCAGGCCAGGACACAGCCAAAATGAACTGAATCAGGGCTCTCCTTGCTCCATCTAAATCCCCACAGCTGCAAGTGCCCTTATTATCTCTAACTTCATGGTAGAACTTTATGGCAGAGAGGAAGGGAGTGCCCACAAGAATGCTACTCTCCTCCCAGAAGGTTGTCAATAGAACTCAAACTGAGTCCTCACTCCAGCTCTGGTTCTTATCCTAGTGTCCCTGAAATTTCCTTTTCCTTCTTTTCTGATCTCCTTGCCTTCATCATGTGTTCTTTGAGTTTACAGGTTATAACGAATACCACAATGCCAATGTTCCTTCCACTTTCGTCAACTCTGGGGTCTTTAGAAAGGAATTCTCGGGGCGGGGCCAAGAGTGAAAGCAGTGCATTGCTTGAGCTCTCCCCCAAACCCTTCCAAATACCTGTAAAAAAATGGCTCAAAAAAAATTCTACAGCAGCAGAACCCACAAAAGGCCAGAGTGAAACACATTTCCAGCCCAAGTCAACCTGGGTGGTTGATTGGAAAGGTATATCGTGCTGAGCAGGGAGAGGAGTGCAGTTTAGTGTGGGCAAGCAGTGTGGAACAGGCCTCAGAGGACTGAATCGCGGGCAGCCATGGCGGTTTCCAGACTTCTCAAACCACGAACACCAAAGACAACTTGGAAGGTCAGTGAGAAAAGTCTGTTTCTGTGGTGAGAGAAGAAGCTAGGTCTCAGCCCCAAGTCCAGAGCGTGTGGGCGGCGCAGTGGCTGACTCCTGAGCTTCTGGCCCACATACTGAGGGGGAATCGAGTGGCTCATCAGAGATGGATTGCAGGGATCTCTTTGCCAGTGATGAGGCAGGAATCTCTTGCTTTGCCCGTGCTTGGATCTGAGTCACAGTTCTGAGAGGCGGTCCTGGGTGAGGAGGAGCCCTGGCCTGGTGGAGCTTGTTGTGGTGGTGGAGAGGAAACACCTCACTCCTTATACCACCTTGGGAGAACTGAAAATTTACAGGTCCCTAGAAGTAGCTCTGAAAATAGGTGTACAAATCCCCGAAGCTTGGGACAGTACATTCACCACATTGGAAGCAGACTATTACCTTAACAAAGAGTTTAAAACTCAAGTAATTGGCTGGGATCATGAGTAAGCAGCGCAAAAAAGAGTCAGACTATATTGTCTTACTTTGGTGACAAAGAAGATCAAAACATACAACCAGAAGAAGACAAAGTCAAAGGTCCTACACCCAAAGCCTCCAAGAAAAATATGAATCAGTCCCAGGTTATGGAAGAGCTCAAAAAGGATTTTGAGAAGCAAGTAAGAGAAGTAGAGGAAAAACTGGGAAGAGAAATGAGAGTGATGCAAGAAAATCATGAAAAACAAGTCAACAGCTTGCTAAAGGAGACCCCAGAAAATAACACCTTAAAAAATAGCGTAATCCAAATGGCAGAAGTGGTCCAAAAAGCCAATGAGGAAAAGAATGCCCTTAAAAGCAAAATTGGTCAAATGGAAAAGGAAGTCCAAAAGCTTACTGAAGAAAATACTTCCTTAAAAATTAGAATAGAGCAATTGGAAACTAGTGACTTTATGAGAAATCAAGACACTGTAAAACAAATCCAAAAGAATGAAAAATGAGAAAACAATGTGAAATATCTCATTGGAAAAACAACTGACGTGGAAAATAGATCCAGGAGAGAGAATTTAAAAATTATTGGACTATCTGAAAACCATGATCAAAAAAAGAGCCTAGACATCATCTTTCAAGAAATGATCAAGGAAAACTGCCCTGATATTTTAGAACCAGAGGGCAAAGTAGAAATTGATAGAATCCATCGATCTCCTCCTTAAAGAGATTCCTCAAAGGAAAATTGGGAATATTGTAGCCAAATTCCAGGGTTCCCAGGTCAAGGAGAAAATATTACAAGCAGCCAGAAAGAAACAATTTAAGTACTGTGGAAACACAATCAGGATAACACAATGTTGAAGGTGGAAGATCAGGGTGAGAGGCAGCACCTGGTGAAGGGTAATGTGAGGTGTGGGGGAAGGTCAGAGGAAGAAGCTGGTCATGGAAGGGAAAGGTCATAGAAGGTTACAACCATGAGTGCCTGGTGGGTAGGTCACAGCAAGAGGGTGATGGGAA